TTTCCATGTAGTACCACTTGTATGTAAATTTCGTGACTTCATCTTTTCTAACAGCTGCATAGTACTCCATTGTGTAGATGTACCAAAGTTTCTTTAACCAGTCATCTGTTCTCGGGCACTGGGGTTTTTTCCAGATTTTGGCTATTGTGAATAGTGCAGCAATGAACATAGATGTGCAGATGTCATTTCGACTGTACTTTTTTTGCCTCTCTGGGATATATTCCCAGGAGTGGTATTGCTGGGTCAAATGGGAGCTCAATTTCTAATTTTTTGAGAATTGTCCACCCACTAGTGCTCTTGTCCTAGTCTGCAGTGTCTCTTGCCCTGACACATGGGAGTGCCCTTAGCCTCTTGGTAGCGTGTGTCTATGAGAATTTTAGTGCTCCCTTCATGGTCTGGGATTCCATGAGAACTGTGGCTGCAGCATGATGGCAGGTGCTGCATGTGGGGCTGAGACTCCCTAGGGATCTGAGCAGGTACAAATCACCCTCATCCCCTGGGAGAGGGGACACCAGCTGCAGACAGGGCAGGAGTGAGGGGTCTAGAGGTGGTTTGTTATACACTAGTCAGACTGACTCTGCTTTGCCTCATCCTCTTCCTGGGTTCATATGATCCTAACATGTTCTCTACAGTGAAGAAGGGTGAAGACTCTGGCATAGATACTGTGCAACCGCCCTACTGCCTGACAGTGCTGTGCCAGTGAGAACTGGCATTTTTCAAGGAGGGGTGACACTTGCTCTTTGGGGTCTCTGTGTCCCTTAAACTGAGTGGAGATGCAGTTCCAGGTTGTGAAAGCTCCTTTCCCACTATTTGCTCTTTGATTGAAAATGTTAAGTACAGGCTTTGGGATACTGAAGAGCTGGCTGTCTTGTCAAACTGATGATGGCTGAGTGACCCATTATCCTTTGGCTGTTGATACCTATGTGCTGTGATGCTCTGAGTCCTCTCAGCTTAGATGGAAGATGGGGTCTCTGGCTTCATAAAAAACTGGCAGAAGCCTGGGTCAGGCAATGAAGCAAATAGGGACCAAAGATAATCCCAGACACTCCTCTTTTTGAAGGGTTGAACACATCTCTATTTGAAGGGCTGGAGCAATAACACAGCGGTAAGGCATCTGCCTTGCATGCAGCCAACATGGCCGACTCAAGTTCGATTCCTCCACCCCTCTCAGAGAGCCCAGCAAGCTACCAAGAGTATCTCGCCCGCACGACAGAGCCTGGCAAGCTACCAGTGACGTATTCAATATGCCAAACACAGTAACAACAAGTCTCATGATGGAGATGTTACTGGGCCCGCTCGAGCAAATTGTACTGGACCATGAACACAAAAAAACTTGCAGGAAGGTAGATAGATGTATGCTTGCTCCTGGCTAGGCTCTTGGCAAAGCATGCAAAGTGGAACTTTAGTTCTCTTGCTTTTTTCTTTGAAACTGTTACCTCTCATATTCTTCTCTATCATTCCCCATAGAGAGGGTAGTTTCAGGATCCTTTTACTTTCCAGAACTCTATGGTCTGTGCTGGCCTTAGCCTATGGTGTTGCTCAATAGGATTTTCTATGCTAATGAGAATGTTCCATATTTGCTCTAGCAAATATAGTTACCACTACCCATGTCTGATTACTGAACATCTGAAAAGTGAACAATGTGATACAGAAAATAAATTCTTGGTATTACTTAATTTAAATGAATTTACATTTGCATTGCCATGCATGGCTGTTGGCTGGTGTATCAGACAGCACAGAACTGGGGTACATTATCTCCACTATTTGTCTTTCCATGGCAAATTCCAAGATCCTCTTCTTAGAGAAGTACCAACAATGAACCCCACACATTTATATCCAGAAATTAAAGTTTTGCCCCTCTTAGAGAAGTGCATGAGTTTTGAGCAATCTTGTCTTTCATTCAAATCAGATTCAAGATAGGAATGCAGAGACTGGCAGCCAAGCATGGTGGGTGAAATGGTTATTGGCATGGAGTTTTAGAGTCACTTCAAAGCACACTGTGGAGATAGGTACACCTTTTTCAGTGCCCTTGGCTGCTTCTATCCTCTCGCAGTCTGGGGGTGGAGGAAATGGAGCCCACAGAAACACAGATTGGAGCCTTGGGAAGGTAGAGAGTAGTGAAGGTAGGAGTAAGAATGGGCAGAGCGCCAGGAAAACCAAACAATTGCAAAAGAAGCTGGAGTGACTGTCAGAATGATGCTCTGCTCCATCCTGGGGAGAAAGTGCCAGGGAGAAATTGTTTGGGCATGATTCATACCACTGGGACAGCATTGGGTTAACAGTTCAGCCAAAGAGATCTTTTGAAGACTACAAAATGGATGGTGGCACTTCTTGACAGAGTTGTGGAGAAATACTGCTGTTCAACTCATAATTCAAATTCAGCCACTTAAGGAGAATTATTTTCCTTCTCAATTCTTTTATGAACACTGATTTCTAAATGTTTTCCCCACTCTGAAACTGAGCTGCTTTTCTGTTTCTCTTGGACGACCATGAAATTAATCTGAAGTTTTCACAGATACTCATTGGTACCAGAAACAGCCTTTGAAAGCAAACATTAGGAGGGGTTAAAGGTGGGGGATTGGAGGGGGATACAAGGCAAGGTTGGAGGTAAGCAGGAAGAACCTACACCAACCTGAGCCCAAAAGAATTTAGGGTTGAATACTGCAGGTACATTTATGTACCATTTCACCTGCTCTAAGCTACCGAGAGTATTCGATATGCCAGACACAGTAACAATAAAGTCTCCAATGGAGACGTTACTGGGCCCGCTTGAGCAAATGCTCTTTGAGAAAAGGAAAAAGTCACTTTAAATTCATGTTTAGATAGCATACTTATTGCTTAAAAACACATTTAAGAAGCTGTGGAAGGAGATGGGTCTGATATCTTTAGTGCTATTATGCCACCTATGTTTAAGTATACACACATACACATAAAAGCAGCTAGACTAATGCTTTACAAACCACTTCAGAGCATTCCATACTTTCCTGGCCCTTTTCAACTTGAAAAAGGGAAGAGCTACTCCTAGAACTTGTATTCCTTACTTTCCCTGTTTATCTTCCATTCAGATAAATTCATGAGGCATCTGGCATCAAAAAGTTCAGAAAGAAAAAAGAGATCCAGAGAACCTGGTTGTCTGCTTGGGTTGATTCACCGGCTGCTATGTTACCAAATAGTCCTGGGCAAAGTTATTAGGCCACAGAGTCCTTTTTTGCCAAAGCATTTTGATGATTTACACCCTCTATTCTCAAGTCCTTGCTAGTGTTTTCTGTCAACACTATAAATTTCAGTCCATTTGCATAAAAAATAAAGTTCGGGCTAGACTGAGGTAACTTAGAGCAGTGGTTCAGTTCATCATGGGTGGGTATGTGATTTTGACACTTCTCACCCAAAATATTTTCCAAAATTTAAAAACATTATTTTATTGTCACTGCTGGCATTTTTTTCTCACTGGAATCTTAGGCAATGTCTGAAGATATTGTTGATGGTTACAAGAGGAGGGCAGAGATCAGGTAGTCAAGCACCAGGAACTGCACAGAATAGCAGCCACCACAAAGAATGATCTATCCTGAATGTCACTGGAGCAGAAGCTAAGGAATTCTGATCAGAGGGAAAGTGCAGGGGGTTGGTACTGAAGTGCAGATGCCCCTTTAAGGGTTATCAATTTTTTTTCTGCTGGAAGACTAGCAGATACCCTGGAGTGAAGAACTCAGAAAGTTCAGGATAACTTTGGCTAGAAGTCTTTTTTTTAAACAATAATCTCACCAATTTCAAATCTTCAACTTCCTGAGAATGCACCCTCAGAATGATACCTGTTAAATTGGTCTCGGTGGGTATGAATCCCATTACATAATGCCCATTATAGATATAATATATATAGAGGCAAGCCCTGAAACTTGGTTTCTCGAATTGTAAAATAGAGTCCTAATACTGTATTACCTGTTTTTTTTTTTTTTACAGCTGGGTCTCGTAGCTTAGGAAAATGGGATAGGGTATACAGCTCAAGTTGAGACGAAAGGGGAATGTGTTAGTTACTATTTAAATCCAACTACAAAATGGCAATGGGATACTGTAAGGTAAGTGGGTGATTGAGGGGTGCAGAGTTAATCAACAGCTCGTGAGATGCAAGCCAGCAGAATGATGGCTGGGGGCGGGGTCAGAGGACCAGGGGGCCAGGTACTTATTCCCATGTCTATAGTAGGTGGAGAAGATCATTTCTCATCATGGATGAATCTTTCCATAGAGTGAGTCAATGGTCTGGTACACAGGCGATACATGCACTGACAATACTGGCTGCAGAAGGGACTCAGAAAACTGGGATATGAAATTATGTGGACGGCTGAGGAAAATAAAAGAAAATATGAAACTTCTCACCCCCACCCTACCCCCAATTTTAAAAGTAACACAGACAATGTCAATTCAACTTCTGGTGTAGAAAAAATTAAAGAGGGGAAAAACATCCCTCATAATTGCACCACTACAAGATAGTAGCACTGCACCGTAGCACTGTCCTCCCATTGTTTATCGATTTGCTTGAGCAGGCCCAGTAACATCTCCATCGTGAGACTTGTTGTTACTGTATTTGGCATATCGAATACATTATGAGTAGCTTGCCAGGCTTTGCTGTGCGGGAGAGATACTCTTGGGAGCTTGCTGAGCTCTCCGAGAGGGGCAGAGGAATTGAACTCAGGTTGACCAAGACGGCTGCATGCAAGGCAAATGCCCTACCTACCGTGCTATCGCTCCAGCCCACAAGACAGTAGCTATCAATAATTTTGGTATTTTCTTTGAGTGAAACAGAGGATTTTCTAAGTAGGACAGATTAGGGGTGCTTGGGTAGAAAAGATCTAGAGAAAATCAGAATAAGGTGATGCAGATGTTGATGGATTTAGAAGGATTTTCTCTCAGACCCCAGGTAATTAAGTCCTGTCCTTACTCAGATGAATTGGACAGTAGACAAAGGAGCCGGATTTTAAAGGGTCATGTGATCAAAGTCTGCTTACCTTTAGGGTTCCTGTGGAAAACATCCTTAGTGTTTGCCTCCATGAATAGAAGAATTCTTTAGCTGAAAGAGGAAATGAGTCATTTTAACTCAAAGATAACAAAACATGAGATATACGATTTCTGACTCACTTTGCAGTCCTAGCTTCACTGAAAAGATTATGCTTCAGTGACAGACAGTGACAGACAGTCCCAGTGTTTTGGAATTGGTTTTATAGCAACCTTAGTTTGAAGTATTTTAAATACCCTGAAATGCAGTGTCTATCTTAATGCATTTGATTTTTCATTCTTTGTTTTCTGTATGTATAATATATGAATATTTTTCAGAATTATTTAAGAGTAAAGCACAGTCATGCGACATTTTCACCCCTAAATATTTAATGTGTTTTCCTAAGAACAAGATCATTCTCTTACATAAACATAGTACAATGATTAAAATAGAAAAATTAACATTAATATAGTAAAAACCACTGTCAAACCTACATTGTCTTACTCAAAAGTTTCCAATTATCCACATTGGAATTAGATTTTTTAAATTTATTTTGAGGACACTGAATTAAACTCATTCACAGTTTCTTTCTTGACCATTCCCCAATTTGGGAATTTGGCCATTTCACTTTGAAGCTCCAGTTTTATTTGAACTTCTTGTGTTGGCTTCCACATTAAGTTTCATGCCTAGATGGTTTTTATAACTGTGAACAATTTTTGGCGAAGAAAGAATTGTTTTCTGGGCTGCCAGTTGCAGTTTTCTATTGTCTGGGATATGACCATTAGAATTTATAGTTCCTATCTTGTTCCTGCTAATTTATCAGCTTCAAGACACTATCTATTGCTTTAGTTTTTAAATTTTGATTGAATTATTACTGAAGTAATATGTCTTGTAGTGTTGGATGTAGGGTTTGTTTAACCACCAACAAGTGTACAAAAACTCTCTACTATTATCCCTCGGACCTTCTAGTTCATTCTAATTCATCCCACCCCTCCCCTCACCCTTGCTTGGTAACTTAGGTTTCTTTGTTAAGATTTCAGTTCTGTTGTTAGAGTTCAAGGTTTGTTTTTCTTGGACACTGTCTATTCCCTTGACTTGTTGTTCTGTGAGTGAGATCATTCTACATTTATCTGTCTCCCTCTGATTTATTTTATCTAACACGAGACCTCTCTAGTTCTATCCAAGTTGTAGTAAGAAGAAGATGTCATCTTTTTGGTATAAGACATTGGTATAAGACTGTGGGAACTGACCAACCCATGGCATGAGGTCTTAGGTGATAACAGCTAATAATATGAATATGAGTTAGGATAAAAATGATTTCAGAACTTGAATGCAATATAGGTAGCAGATGTCTGTAGCTACTTGTAAAATTTTACGTTGGTGTCTGGACTGAACCCCTAAATTGAAGCTCAATTTTGTCTTATTTACTTCTACCAGAACAAACAATGCTTCCAAATAATGTTGATTAGCTTCAAAATACAGAATCCTAAGGCTTTATCCTTTGAGGAATCTAAGACTAGATATTCCCCACTTTCCATCCTGACTCAACTGATGGACGAGGAAGTTGTGGGTACCTACCAACAACCTCATACTGATGAAAATCTCTCTCTCTCTCACTCCACTTTCTCAACATTACTGTGAAGGGCATAATGAGTGGAGCCCAGATATCTTTGCAATAAAAGCCTTATGTGAGGTGATGAGGGCATCTGAGCACAAACCGACCAGCCCCAAGGCATTTGGTAATGAAACGTCTGATGAATGTCAAGCTTATAACACATATGTCTGGGCCCTATTTCTCAGAAGCCACCAAATTTTCCTTCAGAGATTTTTCAGCAGGGCTGAATGTCTCATTTAAAAAACAGAACATTCTAGAACAGATTTTAGATTCTGAGAATTGTTTCAGGACTTCAAAGCCACTCTTTTATACCATGCTGTCTTTGTTCAGAACAACTGCTGCTCTGTTTCCTCTTCAATAAAGCCCAGACTTTTGATCCTCTGATGGGAAACCCTGAGGGGTGAGAAGAAGCTAGGGAAGGGTGAAGAGCAGGTGGGATATGAGAGGAGGGATACACTGCGGGTGGAAAATCTGAAATGATAAACTCCAGCAGTGGGATCTTGGGTGGAGCCTGCCAAGGCCATCATGGACATTTCACTCACTTCTGCACTTCAACATATATATGTCTATGGAGAGCCAGATCTTGGACTCATTGCATTCATTTGTCTATTTAATGACTTGGTATTTTAAAAATGCTTAGGGGTTGGAAGAAGAGTGCTGGTGTCAAGGCACTTGCCTTGGATGCAGTGAACAATGGATCTATCTCCAAGAACTTATATCCTCTGAGTACCATTGGAAGCCTGGGACTCCATGCCAGGCTGTTTTCACTCAGGGAGCCCCCGAGGGGCGGGTGAGAGCCCTCTCCACCCCAAGGGACCCAGCCCCGGCAGCCAACCTCCACTACTGGACCACCGCCATGCTCCAGGCCACTTTCCACATGCTTGGGCTGAGCCTCACGCATGAGTGAAGTCCCATGGAACCCAGATAATGTGGAACTTTGTGACCTTGGACTCTGGGCTTAACAGGACCCGGAAGCGGAAATCCTCTGCCCATTTCCCCCAGTCCCCGGTAACCCAGGGGTCACTGCCATATGCCACCTCCTGTCAGTGCCAGATAATCTCATCATCAGCCACCATCCAGAACTCATGGGTGCTTCTCCTGGAAGGGAGCATAACATGAGGCCCCCATAGCCATGCCACTGGATTCAGTGCCAGGCTGTTTTCATTCGGAGTGCCCCAGAGGGGGATGGGTGAGAGCCCTCCCCGCCCCAAGGGAGCCAATGCCGGCAGCCAACCTCCACAACCCAAATGCTGCCACACTCCAGGCTGCTTTCCACACACTTGGGCAGAGCCTCACATATGAGCGAATATATTCCTGGACTGTGCCAAGTGACACATCATGAGATACTCCCTACCTGTTCTCCATAATTACCATACCATATTTGATGGGATTCAGACAGTAGGCAACAAATCCTAGAGGGAAATATATATATATATGCATATATACATATTTTCAGATATATATATATCAAAGCTCATATCACTCAAATTTTAACAACATGTTAGTGATAGCCTATAGAATGTCTTAATGGCTCCTGCCAAAATAAAACAATCTTCACACTGTTTCCTATATGAACACTATTTTGTAAGCATTTTCAGCAGCTCTTCATAACAGACAATACAAAATATATTCTTTACATTGTGTTTTGGGACAGGGCTTGGGGCTTGGGATGGAAACATCCTGAATTTGGTGGTGGTGGGTGTAATGGTGGTGGGATTGGTGTTTGAATATTAAATGTTACCAAATATTGTAAAAATAAATGAATAAATAAATAATTTTTAAAAAGTGTGGGGGGGGGGAGGAAAGAAAATGGGTCCAAAGCAAAACAAACGAAAAAACAAAAATATCATTGAAATTCGGATTGGTGAGAGAGGGGTTAAGGAATTTTTCAGGCACATGGCTGACCCTGACTCAATCCCTGATACCACATGTAGTTCTGAGCACATTCGAAATTATCCCTGACCACAGAGATAAGAGTAAGCCCGAGCATGTGGGAAGTGGCCGAACACACTTAAACTATGAAATTAAACAAAAGTGGCCGGCACAGCATTTGGCCTCTGAAATTCTCTGTTCCAACACCCATATGGACTCTCACTTCTTCTAAGATTACTGGAGAAGATTTCTATAGTTCTCTTGACTGAAACTTTGGTTTGGACTCCACCACTGGTAGATGGCAGATAGTAGAAAGCACTTCTGGGAATATATTCCCATTTCTCTTGACTTAATTTTAGCACTAGTTGTATTTTCATCACCACAGCTCAAGTTGGCAACTTCTGTCACATGGCTCTGCTATCAGTGGGTTCTTAGTAAAAATCTCTCCTCCCTCTCAGGTTCTATCTATGCAGAGAATGTAGTGGCACTATCTATAGCCACATTATTAGAAGCATGGTGCTCAGAACCAAGGAGGTGATAGTATTTTTTTTTCCTCTACTAGCTCCCACTTAAAGCTCTAGACTCAGTTTTGGGGTTTGCACTTGAAGATAAGATGTTAGCTTCCATAAGTGTTTGAAGTTCTGTGGTATAAAACAGAGTTTATAAATAAACTTTTTCTTCAAGGGACAACAGTAAATATTTTTGACTCTGTGGGACCATATCTTTTCTTTGCAATGACTGAGCTAGTGTGCCAAAGTATTTGTAGACAATTGAATAGACTTGACTGTGTTAAAAATGTTGCTTCACCATAAAAAAGCATAGTATGAGACTAATACCCAAGGAGAGTAGAAACAAGGGCCAGGAGGATTGGTCCATGCTTCAAAGTCTGCCTCAGTTGCTGGGGGAGAAGGTGGTTGGGGTAGAGAAGAAACCACTATGACAAAGATAGTTGGAAACGATCACTCTGGATAAGATCTGCATGCTTAAAGTACGTAAAGGAACAAACATAATAACCACTCAGTATCTGTACTGCAAACCATAATATCCAAACGGGGCGGGGAGAGAGGGAGAGAGGGGAGTGGGAGAGAGGGAGGGAGGGAGGAGGAAGGAAAGAAGGAAGGAAGAAAGGAAGAAAAGAAGGAAGGAAGGAAGGAAGGAGGGAGGGAGGGAGGGAGGGAAAAGAAGGGAGGAAGAGGGTGGGAGGGAGGGGGAGACAGGAAGAGAGGGAAGGAGGGAGGGAGGGGGAGAGGGAAAAGAAGGAAGGGAGGAAGAGGGTGGGAAGGAGGGGGAGAGAGGGAGAGAGGGAGGGAGGGAAGGAGGGAGGGAGGGGGAGGAAGGGAGGGAGAGAGGGAAAAGAAGGGAGGAAGAGGGTGGGAGGGAGGGGGAGACAGGGAGAGAGGGAGGGAGGGAGGGGGAGAGGGAAAAGAAGGGAGGGAGGAAGAGGGTGGGAAGGAGGGGGAGAGAGGGAGAGAGGGGGAGGGAGAGGTAGAGGGATAGAGAGGGGAAGGAAAGCGGGAGGAAAGGGAGAGATAGAAAGAGAGAGAGAGAGAGAGGAAAAGTGTCTGCCATGAAGGCAGGCTGGGGGGAA